TCTATCCCTTATAAGTGATTACAAGTAGTACTAGGTAAGCTAAGTTCTTGTATGCTATTATTGTAATGGGTCCCTCTTTTATATATTGTAAATAGTGTTCTGTTATGTTTGTATTGATTTTTTACTGATTTTTTACTCTTTTGTATTGTATTCCTATCATTTGTGCATTGATTTTTATTGTTTCATACTAATATTATATGGTTTAAGCCTGTGTCTGTTGTGATGCCAAGTATCCGTTCCCATCTTGTTCTCATCTTGTCCCCATGCCCTGTTGTGACAGTGTTGCAGTTCTGTAACCTCTCCCATGTAAACTGGTTTTCCTTGAATGCCTGAAACAAGAGCGAATGGATGAGTGAAACACAATGATAGCAGGACCCCCTACTAAATCACCCCACCATCAAAAGCAATACCTGGATCAACAGCCCAGCCATTGGAACCACCCTCAGCATTCAAGAAACAAAAGATGAGGCAACCCACCATTGTGCCAAGGCTGCACATGCTCAGTATGAACATCTGGAATAGGGCTGACCTTGCCTGGACATGCCCTCCCCATAGGAGATCATAGGTAGTCTGCCCCATAAAAAGGGGTAGTGAAGACTGACTGACTCCTGGGATCACCATCTTCACCTGGACCAGACCTGCTCCACATACACTGTCTATCAACCCAGAGGTCCTGCCAGTGACCCCCACCCCCCCCCGACAACACCTGGTGGAGAAACACCCCGACGGGCCATGAAGGACCCCCTCCCAGCCTGGATAGGTAACTATCACTCCCATCCTCTTTTCAACCAAGGACTTGGACTCTTTCTCTTCCCTACCTGGATTCCAACTCTTCCACTGAGTCTCTTTCTCCTGCTACCATTGTGTGTGTGTGTATGGGAACCAAGCTGTACAGTACAGTGTTCATTTAATAAAACTGTTATTTGGAACCTTGAGTTGGGTTGTGCTTTACTACGGTTCTGGCCCTGCTCCAATCCCTGCTTCTTGCCCCTCTAACTTCTGTCTCATTTTTTCCTCTCCTGCTTCTGGCTCACCACCTCCAACACCTGTCCCATGCTCCTGTGGCTCCAGCCATCCTGAGCTCCTCTCTGCCTGCAAACCCCTGTTTCTTTGCCATTGTCTCATTCCCATTGCCTTTTCCCCTTGATCTCTGCCACTGTTATTGCCTTGTTCCCACTGCCTTTTCTACTGATATCCCAGCTTTCTGCCCCTGTCTCTTGGCTGTTTTCTCCTTGCCACTGGACTTTTTCCCTTGCTTCCATCTCAGCACCAGGTGACCCTGAGTTAACCCCGGGGCCACTTGACCTTAAGTCACCCCAAGCTTCAGTTCCTCAGCCAGCTTTTCTCTAGTCTATCACTTCTAATCCCGGTTCCAGCAACTTTCACTCCTTATACTTTCTAGCTTACCTTAACCTTCCCCCAGGTATCCCAAGTAGCCCAAACACACATACACATACCATACCATCCAAGTTAGGAACTCACCTGTGTGCATGTGTAGGTGGGTGGTTTGGTTGTGTGGAAATAAATTTAACCAGGCTCTTAACTTGACTAAGAAAAGAGACAGACACCAGAGGTGCTGATACTGCGTATTTCAGAAAAATGTTCTAAGATAAGAAAATCCTGCATGCCTTGTTTTTGTCTTGATATATTACCTTGTGTGTGGATGTTAGTTTTTTTCTCTGAGAACCAGAAACTGATAACCGTTCCTATAAGCACAATGTTTCCCTTTTCTTTAAGTAAATTTCCTGTGTGTGTCAGGCCAGTGATTTACTCCTATTTGTTTCTCCAAGGTCATATTTTTTTCTCTCTCTATCTTAAGTATAAATATGCCTGTAAACTTATAGAGTTCGAGAATTCCTTTGAAACAGACAAGTGGGTGATTCCTCTTGCTGTATGGAATTCTCCATGTGATCACAGTATAGCCCTAAATAAAGAAAGGCTGGCTCTGTCAGTTCTGATTCAACCACAACACAAAGTTTGATTTCTTCCACAGTTGTGAACTGGTGTGTGTGTGTGTGTGTCATCGTGTGTGTGTTATATATATTAGTGATCCGTGTATGTGTACTGAGTGTGTAGGTATTGATTTTTGTCTAACTTTTGGTGTGTATAGTGTATAGGTGCTTGAACTGGTGATAGATGTGCATGTGCCTAAGCTGGTAATTAGGGATATGTATGTGCCTGAGTTGGTAGTGTGTGTGCACAGGCCTGGTGGGGGTGTATGCACCTAGGGTGTGTGTGTGTGTGCCTAATTGATTTGTGTGTGTGTGTGCAATTGTACACCATGCCCTCCTATCTAACAGTGCAATACTGAGATCCTGAGCATTGGCCTGACCCCACAGGGCAACAACTGCCTCCTATGAGATGCTGTGTACCCAGTACCATAATGTTGTATTTTTTTGAAGGAATTTGGTTTGGGGTCAATGTTTCTTGATATTAATTGCTTGGATGTGGGAATGGAATATATTTATCATACTTGTAGATGGGACACAATTGGAACAGGTTGCCAGTTTATTGTAGAATATCATAAATTCAAAGGATTAATTAGAGACATGATTCATAGATTCATAGATTCATAGATTAAGGGTCGG